TAATCAATATTATATTTCGAATAACCAAGTACTTGGTATCTCACAAAGAGCAAGTGGCTAGTGCTGCAAATAACATACCTTTCAAAACCGATAGCTTCTGCGGGGTTAGAGGCTGCCTGGTGGTCTTGGTGGTGGGGCATTCCTTTCCAGTCAGGCTCCTTTCCCCTAAGGTGTCGGTGCCCCAAAACGCCACAGCCAACTCCTTCACAAACATGGAGTCCCTTGTGTTGTTTTTCTATTTTTGCCCAGACCTCTGGACACACTGGAATCTCCCCTTGCAAGTGAATCTGACAAAAATCCGAAACATAAAATGTGTAGAGTCTACATAAAAGGTAGACACTAATATGTGACTGAGGAGCAAAAATAAAAGGCTCCACTATGGAAATAATATAAACCTTCCCATGCGGCTCGCTCTTTGAAGGGGGATTATTGGGGTGTGTGGGTGTCCAGCAGTGGTTGCGTTAGACTTTTTCGTTGTCCGTCATTTTGACGGACTGGATCGTAAAATTTCCGTCATAATCCATTATTATCCGTCATTTTATTTTTCATGTTTTAATGATGAGATGATACCTATTTAATATGTATGTTTGGGTACTGAGCAGCAAATGTTCATTCATGTTTTAATGATTCATACAGAACTTTTAAGGGCATGGAGAAAAAAAAAAGATGAAGAGAGACACCGACCATGTGGTCACTTTTCATGTCAACACGAACATGAATGATTTATTTTTTTCCTGCACTGACAGCACAGCAGAGGGGGGCAGAGGCCTAAACAGGCAAATATGAACAATGCCATCGCTTTAAATGAGACAATTACAATCAGAATATGAACAAAATATGTACAAGAACAACTCAATTGACCTGCTGTAGCCAAGCCTGAACGCTGATTTCTGCATCGTCGTGCACGCTCGGACAAATCCGTTACTCATATGGGGCGAAGCCTGCGAGCTAGTTCAGGCAGTCAACTCCAGCACTTATGCTGCATTCATACATAACGCCCCCTTGCCACTCTACAACCAACCAAACAGAGTCTCCTTAATATGCCGCTCTATTTAACCTGCCAGATCTCTCTCCGTGCATTGCTTGCTGCTGTTATTGCTGCAGCTACCTCTACGTCGCTGCTGCTTGCTTGCCCCACCACCACCCCAGCTTCCACCTGTAGGCTCGGGGGTTAGTTATTTAATCATCACTCATCGTGCTATGTATATCTATGGAGTGATGATGCCCGAGCCTAGTCGCCAAACTCAACTATATGCTGCTTCTAATAAACATGTTAAAGGAACATGTGAGTTGTCTGACTGAACTTAGCTTTTCTACAGATGTCGCAGAACATTTTTGCCATCTTCCCTCCTTAGCAACTCTTGCTCCCACTGAACCCGGTACTCCCGCTTGAGCTCCTTGCCACTTGCTTGCCCCTCTGCCGCTGGCTGAACGTTGTCAGTTTTAGTCTTACTGGCTTGTCCTTCATCCTCCACCGCATCAATCCCTCTTTTCACCTCGTTTATCCACACCATTACTGGGCTTATTAAAAAAGCTTCGGACGATCAGCTGCCGTGACATTAGTGATTGCTAAAGCCGGTTAAACAACGAGGTAATCAACGAGGTCAAAAACAAGACTAGACAATAGCTACTGTTAGTGTATTCTAGAACCCCGAAGGCAGGAGAGACTGAAAAGAGTCAAGGGAAGCTTATAAAAGTTAACAGCATTTAATTACACAAAAGATGCGGTGGTGTACAACATAAAATGTGCGATTGGAGGCGCTCTCCTCATCCGACCGGTCAGTCCAGGTCAGCAGGTAGAAGAGGTCTTGGCTTGATCTTCCTGTTGTCATCTGAGATCTTCTCCTATTGGCCGGCGTCGTCGGGGGGCGGGTCCAATGCAATTCCTGCCTTTTTCTGTTGTTAAATTATATCATTCTGGTGTCTGTGGTTATTTAAACATTCCCTAATAAACGTTATTCAGCGGTAATAAATGAGTGCTAAACCCAGTGTGCTCAGTGTACAACATCACATGTCATTTCACCTTTGATTTGCGGTTTGAAAATGCAGCATTTCGCCAAATGCTAATGCTAACCGGAAGTTAATAATTTTCAGAATAAACGTATTAAGTTAATAGTTAGTGAACTTCCGGTTTTTCAGAATAAAACTGATTTAAATTAAATAGTGTATTTAATTCAAATTACGCCATATCAACATTGATTTTAATTTCTAACACTACTTAATATACACACACTCGCCACCAACTGGACAGGGGTGTGAATGACTAAATAATAGTTACAGACTACAGTAGAGTACAGTAGATCACCCTCAGTCTACCTGGTCACTAAGGATGTAATATAATGTGGGCCGCTGGTGGACATGTTGCCGCTGTTCCGAGTTGTGTTCTAATCTGTCAAAATGACGGACTGCTTTCAGATTTTTCCGTCATTGTTAGAAAAAATCCGTCATTGACGGAAAATATTCGGTTAACGTGACCTCTGGTGTCCAGGGTGCCGGCTCACACTGTTCAGGTGTCTCAGATTGTTCTTCTACAGAATGTGTATGAGACACAAAGAAAGGTTAGCAAAAACATTTCAACAATAGTATAAATTCACATGCGTATATCTTGATGGGCTGATTGTTTACACATTTCACTGCCATCTTGTCTGTTTCTTTTGTTGCAGTTGCTGATGAAAGTTAAAATGCAAAATCAATGAAAGACTGACATTATTATTTGCATGCAATTTAAAAACAAATGTACTTACTTTGTGAACATACCTGGTTTAATAGTTTATCCAAACGATTTTTTAGATTGAATGTCCTGTAGATGGCGACTTCCCCTTCCAGCTCAGCTTTGGAATCCTCTAATTTAGCAGATCTTTATAATATAATGAACAATTAAATTATCAACGAAACAGCCTTTTAGCCTATACCACCAGTCAAATCTGTTAAATGTTACCTTCCGTATTAACCGTCTAAAGATGTTTCAGTGTCATACAAATTAGTTCCTGTTGTAATTGTGCAGCTGTATTATCTGGGAAATAGAATAATCGGATCAGGATTCGGTATTGGCAGACAATCAATATCAAATGACTCGGATCGTTATTAACATCAGCATTTGATCACCTTTGTCGACTTGCAGCCTAATTACAGAAGATAACTCCACTCCTCTACTACCACTATTGCTGCTTTCACACCAGCCCTTTCTAGCTCCGAGTGGGAGCGTTTCTGGTTCAGCTCCGGTTTCCCTTTTCTGCTCCCGCTCTGTTCACACCACCCAGAGCTGCCGCTGCTGCGTCATGACGTCACCGTTTACGTGCCTGCTTCATAAAATCCAAACCGCGCGGAAATCCCTCACATTGACAACAACAACAACAATTGCAGATTGTATTGAAGCGCTGTTCGCGTTGGTTATCCTTTTACGAAACGAAATGGAAGGCATCGGACGACTTTACAAGTGTTACGGCTGCTGTTTCTGCCTGCTCGGTAACCTGTTTGGGACTGTCTGCAGCTGTGTGTGATTATGTAAATGAGCTGTGTGGTTGCTCCAACATCATTGGCTGTCATCTCCTGGTCCACTTCCGAGGACACTGATTGGAGCACACCGGGCCCGACGTCCTCCAATCCCTGCGCAAGCCCAGCGCACACCTGCTGGAGAGGACTACAAAGCTGGGGACAATCATCGCTCTGTTGAGTGAACAGATGCCTCTCGCTATTTGCTCTTCATTCTGGGGGTTAACTGGTGTGGGCCGTGTTATTGTGATTAGATGTGCTTAGATTAGTTTGATTAGATGTGCTTAGATTAGTTTAGTATTGTGTGACTGTAGTCCTAGCTGTGTTTCCTTACAGCCTTCCGTTACTAGTTGTACCACTTTTACAGTGAGGTTTTCTTTCCTTCTTTATTTAGTGTGTGAGTATTTAGTTTCCCTGTATGCGTTTAGACTCACTTTTTAGAGTCCTCCCTTAGTTTGGTTGCCCCTTTAAAATTGCGCCCTTGTGGCCTCTATTGTTTGTTATTTAAACCAGTGTTTGTGGCAATTTGAGTGTTTCAGGCTGCTGGCCCGCCATTTTGTTCACCGGTTGTGCAATAAAACAGCTTATAACTTTTACCAATCCCATTCTGGTTGTGTTGCTTGCTTCCCGTTGATTCCCCTAGCGCAGAAGGGAACGTAATAACAAGGGACGACTTTACTTGGAACTTTACAAACATCACATGCGAAATGCAAGACTTCTTTGTGGTCTTCAGCATCTACTTCAACGACGAATCTGCCCCTGCCTTGACGTAAGAGAGACGTAAGCGACGCCGCCTCTTAGCTCCGAAGCTCTTGCCTCTAGACCGAAACAGCAGAGTGGCGAGTGAGAGCTGTCATCTTCCCTTTACAAGCTTAACAAAATTATTTTTAGTGTGACTTTGGAAGTTTCATATTCTGAAAGCCAAGACTTTGTTTAAAATTTTAAAAAACACCCGAACCCCGAAAAACTATTTTTTTACACAAATCCACGTTTATTTTGAAATGAGCCGTTGCGACTTCCGACTGATTTCGATAGAGCGGGTCACATATTTACTCTTTAGTTCCTGAAATTATAGTATTGAATTTCTATGCTAGCAGTCAGCAGCCTCCAGCCACCAGGATACCAGAGGAAAGGTCAGCCCGTTTAATCATTATGGATAGTTATTGAAGGCTTTATTCCAAAGTTGTTTGGGGAATTCTATTTCGTGACATTGTTTTTTTTCTGTTCAAGTGTAGTTAGGGTTATTAACCCTTAGTTACAAAATGTAGGCTACTGTATTAATGTTTTGCTTAAAAAAAGAGCTAGAAGTAGACTTTTGTTATTGGCTCTTCATTTGTATTGTTTACTATTTTTTCAATATGAAACATTTGAGCTACGCTGAGATATTCCAAATTGGGAAGGTTTAAACCTCTCGCGGAAAAAAGTATATTCGTGTTCAGAGAGTGGCATATTTTGGCACTGTTGGCTTTCCATAGCCTCCTGCCTGGTCGCCCGGTTTTTTGGTTGAGTAGAAGTTGGCAGAGGGATGTCACTGCGATGATGGCGCTGCAGCTGAAGAACGGGGATGCAGCGTACTACCAGAGTGCGGAATATTGCAGACATTACACTTCGCCTCCCGTAAACTACGGTGACAGCAGGCATTATCTTGCCCGTTTGCCAGGTAAGGAGAAGCTTGCAATACAGTAGCTTCCCTCTGACTGTCGGCAATCTGATGCGCTGTAATGTGCAGGGAAAGAGACATTTGCAGATGTTTAACCGGTTGCCCTGGTGCTGCTGTCAGCCTGTCATCACCATAATGTCCTCTAAACGAGTGAACTAGTCATCTCACTGAATAGCCTATCGAGCATAGATGCTGCGATGCAAAATCCCAGATTGTCGGGACTCTAATGATCCCTCGTACTGTAGGAGAGCTCCAGAGAGACTCCAGGTTTTAGCTGACTGTTATCTGAAACAGTGAATAGAGTGTAATGGTCACTTTCATCCCTCAGGTATGGTTGTCAATCAAGCGGTGGTCAGAGCAGGTGAAGAAATGGAAACTGTAATCGTTGCTGCTGCTTTCACTGCACTGCTTGATCTGCAGTCAGATGATGGTGACATGTGGCAATTACACAGCAAGTGTTTCTTCATTGCACCTGCACAGTTGCTGTCAACAGCGGCCAGCATCATGGTCATGTAACTCAAATGTTCCAGATTTATAGACATGGTAGGCAAATATTCCTGCCATTAAATCGTCTTCATTGCTTATACTACATGTCTCAGATTGAAGTTAGTGAAAGTTGTTGCAATTGATTGGTAATCAAAAATAAGGCAGAAACAATATGTGTCACCAAGATGGACGTTTTTGGCAAATCTGGTAAACCATAATTTGTATTACATCATAAGTTATTATCATATACGTTTGCTTGACGTAAATTATGAACATTTAGCATTTGGTTGACTTTTTCTATTTTTGATATTATTGTTAATTGAATACAAAGTTTGGTTCCAATGCCAACTTCTTGTCAGACAAAATAATGAATAAAGTAAATGTGTGACTCTACATGTCATGTGCTAAAATAGGTGTTGCTTTATATAAGGGGTATAAGGGGTAATGGACGATTACTAATCGATATAGTATTTATAGCCTAATGCATAGGCTAGGTGACTGGTAATAAGAGTCTTGAGCATACAGTACCACACAATTTATGTTAACTATTATGACATTCATTCAAACATAAAGTGCTACTGAGATCTAAAAGTAAAGACTATAGACATTACCCTAATGGTACATAAAGTAAATTGCAAACTTTAATAAGACATTCACTGTCTTTGCTGCATTTGCGGTTGTCCAATGCCCAGTGAAGCAGATTGAATAAGTGCAGGAGGCATGTGATTGTCATTGCTCCATAATTGATGTGGCACAAGATAGTAAGGCAAGAGAAACTCTAGAGAAAATGCAAACTTGGCCCATTTAGAGATTCTCAGTGGAGGCCATCAGACTTGGACAGTAGTTGTTTTCTGGCGTGGTTCTTTCTACAAGCAAGCAATCTTTAGTCAAATTCAAGAAATCATGAACTAATAAATAAGTAATGAGTCTAAAAGAAAACTGTGGTTTCTTCTTCTGAAACTTTTAGAACAAAGTCTCTCCACAACAATGATGAACAATACTGTCTGATAAAAACAAATGTTGACCACTTGCTGCTGGCTGTTTCAGAGCAACAACACATGACACTGACTTTGACTTACAAAGTTTATTGTGTCCTGTCCAAAAACTAAAAAGAAAAAAAGAAAAGCAAAATGAACAGACAAAACCATGGTTATCTATTCAGTGGCTGTTCAAATGTGTGCTCTGTAGACTGCAATTTTTGAGGACCTGCATCTGGATCTGAGACACAACTGGCATTGGTTTATCTTTTTATCTAGTATGGTAATTGCTACATGACATCATAATGCAAAGCAATTTCATACAAGTTAGTAACACAAGGAGTTAAAGAAGTTGGGAGGAAGTGTTGGTTAAAGGATTCACAGCAACATCCTCATGCATACTTTACATTACTACTGATATACAGTAAATGTATGTTCGTCATGTAATCTGTTTTGTGGTGGCACATTGCACACTCTGAATTGCTTAACGGATGATATCAAGCAAAAAGGGTCAGCCGCCCTTTGTGTGTGTAATTGCTTCTGCAGTGAGGTTTCTAGACTGCTGTGCAGGCGGGCTCAATCAGGGTGGAAGGGTTCTCATGAGGCTGCTGCTGATTAGGTTGATGATGTGCAGTATGTGGAACTTAATTGGCTCTCGATGGCAATCATGAGCATTGAGGGGGTGTCTAATTCAACAACATACTGTATGGGTCTCATTCAATGAATACTGCGAACATAAATGAATATGATAAGCGCACATGTCTTAAAACCTGTACTATTGTATACTCTATATTGCCTATTGCATTCTTTTGACATTTTCTATGGCTATAATAGATATTCAAATTATTAGAATTTAACATTAAAGTAACATTTAAACCAATTTTGCATCCGAGCTGTCATTGCTGTGATGCTCCTGCAATCTACTTTAGGTGTGTCACATCTTCTTCTGTTTAGATAAATCAGCTTTCAACTCCCTGTGGTAGCAGATAGTGTCTACTAAGATGACACTTCCAAAAATAGCAAATGTAAAAGCTTTTTTAAGCAGGATATTGTAAGACAATACTTACAATACCAATGAGTAGTGAAACATGTATATATTTATATGCAGCTGCTGCATAGTATGACTTTACTAATGTATAGGCCACTCATCTCGCCCTGCTGAATCTGCCACAGTGTCATCTAGCAGTTCACAGGACTGTAGTAGGGTCAGTGCTTGTCCAGCATACCTTTCTCTTGAAGCCAGGCCAGGTGACAGACAGACTGGACAGGCAGACTGACAGTGAACAGCAGTTCGGAAACACAAACACCTCAGGATGTTATTTTGAGTCCATGAATCACCACCATTGAGCTTCCAGCACTGTGAGTTTTGACACAGCTGTTGGCCCTTTTACTGACAATATATGTGGCCAAAGAGAAACACACACACACACACACACACACACACACACACACACACACACACACACACACACACACACACACAATGGCACACTCGAGCAACCCAACAAACACACAAAATCAGCTCATTGCCATTCTTAATATAATGTGTTGTCTTAGTTTTCCATACACAACCATGCATGCCATGCTTTGATGTACACTCACACAGACAGAGACAGACCTACTTTAGTTTATCGAGCAGTCACACTTCAGGCTGAGATCTCTTCAGATCAGAGCAGCTTGGGGATTTTTATGTCACTGTCTCCGTTTGTTGTGTGTGCAAATGCATGTGTACGTAACGTCCCATATGCATGACTGCAGGCGCTGCAGGCTTAGCCTATTCTTTCTGATGCTTACTGGAGTGTGAAGCTCCTCTGTCCGGGAATGTGTTTCCATTCGCCCATCTCTTTACATCTCTCCTGCTCCGGGCTCCAAGAAAGAAAATGCTCCTTCTATTAGTGTCACTGTACATTGGTCACTGGATTTGAACCAAGTTCAACAGGCAGTATCCACTTTATATTTTGGTATGAAAGTGATAATGTCTTCAACTTGGACATTTAAAGAATATATTTATAGAGTTGAATGTATTTTGGTGTAAAGATGAGACCGGTGTCTAGCTTGTTAACCATGCTTATCATTACAGTTTAGACTGTAAGCACGCTAACATTTCTGATTTAACACTAAACACATGAGACTCATGATAATGGTTTTACCTTTGCAGGAATTTGGCAATAAACCAATGAAAAGGAACATTTCTGGATGAAAAGTCAGTGCAGAACCAAAGTTATTTTAATTCACTATGATGAAAATATGAATGTCTGGAACACATTTTTATAGTAATCCACCCTATAGTTACTTAGAGGTTTCACTCAAAAGCAAAATGTCAACTTCATGGTGCCAGAGGAAGGGCCAGTAGGTTAACAGAGACATTTGAATAGTATTATCTGAAAATGTCTGTGGCAATCTTTCATTTAGGGTTTCTCAACTGGATTTTGAGGTGGCGGTGGCACTAGATTATTTTGGATTAATCCTCTGTAAAAATAAATAGAAAATGTAATAGTTGTTGAGATGTGTTAGATCAACCGACTGACATGGCATAATAAAAAACGTTCTTAGTGCTGTTAATTAATCATCAAGGTTACTAAATTCCCTTTTGAGAAGTGTATTTGATTTGTGTTCCCCTGTGTAAAATAATGTGTTGTTGTCCACAGGACCAGAGACCATGTTGAAGCCCCCTATGAGTCTCTTCAGCCTCCCCCAGCAGCCTTTTCACCACATGGACTCTCTGCACCAGCTGAGACCCCCACCAATGGTGCCTACACAGACTCTTGGCCTGCCACCCCTTGTCCCTGCTCAGGCACTTGGACCTCCTACTATGCTACCTACCCAGACTCTTGGGCCCCCGCCTCCTCACGTGTTAAGACATCCCCTTATTGCCCCCCCACACAGCTTAGGCCCCCCTCCAATGGCCCCAACACAGCCAATGGGGCCTCCACCAATGGCACACACCTTGGGTCCCCCACCTGTAGATCATACACACGCAATAGTGCCTCCAAACATGGACCTTATACAACCGTTGGGGCCTCCACCTTTAAACCTTGCACAGGCCCTGGTGCCTCCACCTGTAGTGGGACCCGGAGCCGGAAGATTTCCCCTCCCTCCAAGCCCCATGTGCTCCCCTCCTCCAATGGGCCCAGACCCTTCACACCTGCCCCCAATGCCCCCACGACCAGCCCAGATGTCCTGTCTCCTCCCTGGCCCTCTCCTGGGTCAGGCAGCCCCAGCCAGCGAGCTGCCCCGGGATGAGGGTTCTCTGCTGGGGATGGAGGAGCAGAACGACTCACTGGGGGAACTCTGCAAACCACTGTACTGTAAACTCTGCAACGTGACACTCAACTCTGCTCAGCAGGCGCAGGCGCACTACCAGGTCTGTTAAAATAACAATGTACAAACCAAATCAATATTAAGATACATAAATAAACAAACACAGCATTCTCCTTATCGTTTCGTCTAGGGAAAGAACCACAATAAGAAGTTGAGGAATTTCTATGCTAGCAGTCAGCAGCCTCCAGCCACCAGGATACCAGAGGTCCTCGAGGCGGCTGGCCAGACATCCCTCAGCTCAGGACCAAACGACAGTGACGCAGGCAGACAGGTTAGAGCCAACCTACCTAAATGTTACAGTGTTATGAGATGGATGACATTTTGGCAACCAGAAAAACAACTCCAATAAACGTTGCTTTACTGCTGGAGACGGGGAAAAGCATCTGTTTTCTTACCACTTTGCAATATTAGCTTGAAAAGTGACGACATGCAATTTGTGATCCCAACAGGTTTCTTCTCTCAAGTTTCCAAAATAAAGTAGTTATTGTTGTTTATGGATTTACCATGTAGTTGAACCAATTAACCAACATAACATGCAAGTACATTATCTTCATTAACTAATAATTATACAATTTTGACTTTAAATTAGTATTATTGCTTTCATAGATTTAACAACAGAAATCAGTTACATTGAAAATATTAAGAGGTTTTGCTTGAAATTCTTCTCTTCTTCCAACCTGTCCGAAAAATGTATTTCTTCTCTTTCTCCCTCGTCACATACACTGCACTGCTTTGTCCAAGGCACAGTATAAAGGAGCGACCCGGGTCATCTTGGCCACAGAGAATGACTATTGTAAGCTGTGTGACGCCTCCTTCAGTTCACTGGCAGTTGCACAGGCCCACTACCAGGGCAAGAACCACGCCAAGAAACTACGACTCGCTGAGGCCCAACAAATCTCCAGTAACCTGTAGGTTCAAATGTAGAAACCTTATGCAGTATACAGACGCCTTGTCCTTATTTCGTTTTGTGTTAGATTAGCATTTGTGTTGCAGATCTCCTGAAAGCCATGACTGAAATTAAATATATATGTATTTGAATAAGAAACATTACTTAACTAAAGTTAAACACATAACTGGTTTTGGCTTTGATACCAAAGCAGCCAAGCTGAACATGTGGAAACAGATCGCCAGACAGTGTTTCCAAACAATAACAACAATTATTTTGACTCTTGCCTTTTTCAGGGAGAGCAGCAATGAGGCGGCCCCAAGAAGGAACAGGAAAGATGGCAGTGAGTACAGACTGGTGAAGAACCGCCGCAGCCCACAGCTACCTGCTTCTATGCCAGGTAAAATATTAAACATTTATGAATAAGAGTCTTAATAATAAAAACACTAGATGCACATTTCTGCTTATATTTCCATTGGGACTGTCAAACAATGTACTCACACACACGCACACACGCACACACGCACACACGCACACACGCACACAGCACACACGCACACACGCACACACGCACACACGCACACACGCACACACGCACACACGCACACACGCACACACGCACACACGCACACACACACACACACACACACACACACACACACCACACACACACACACACACCACACACACACACACACACACACACACACACCACACACACACACACACACACACACACACACACACGTTATATTCCATAGACACATATTGCTATAGAAGTCCATAATGTCATTAAAAACCATTTGTAACTTTATTGGCTTATTTAAACGTGCCAACAGTTCTTTTTAAGGGCCTTTGAAGGCAGCATTAATAGAAGAAGAAAAATGCAAGGATCAATGTTCTTTTTTACCCAAAGTGTTTGTCATTTTCTTTATTTGTTACCCATTTCAGGGCACCCAGATTTACTTAGTTTTAGGAAAGCTGACACAAAGCAGCCCCCACTCTATATCACTATAGTTCAATCAGGAGAGACGGTTTTGATTTGATGATACATATTTAATGCGCAGGTACACAAATGAATGTGACAGTAGTTTTGGCGATTAGGCCCCGTTGTGCAGGAAGTATCATTCGGGAGGGTAGAACCGATCCGATGAAAACCCCCCGGGGTCTAGACAGTGGTGGTGGTGAATGGATAGTTGGGTCGGTCTGAGGAGGAGTGGTTTTAGCTTGACCCTGGATTCGGAGGGGACGGGAGGTGAAAAGGGTGGAGGAGGGTTGCGTTGAGTCACCTGAAATGACAGCTGTCGGAGGGGAAAGAGCAGAGTTTAAAGGGTTTGACGGCACGCTATGATGGCTCTTGGGAATAGAGCGAAGTGATTGGCTAAGCTGAAGAGTGACGCCCCTGGTCACTTATTGAGAGGAGAGAGAGTAGAAACATGGAGATAGAAATACATGAATGAGTAAAGACGGTCTTCCTGGTTGAACTTGCGCTAAGCTTCATTTGCTTGTGTGAGTGTCTGCTTTCGCCTTTCACACGCACACATACTGGCGCTCTGTGTGTGGGTGGGTGTGTGTGTTTGTGTAAACAGATACAGAGTAGAAAAGGTCAGACTTTCTGCTGACGTCAAACAACTCTTGCTTTCTTGCCGTAGTTCACTATGTCTCTGTATCTTTCCGGGGACAAAAACAGTAGCACTCAGCTCAAAATAAAGCAAACACACGCACACACACACACACACACACCACACACATAAACCACGACATTCTGATGGTTTAATACGTTTTTCTTGATGGATAAATCTCAAAATAGCTGCACTCACTCCCGCTTTCTCTATCTGCTTCTCGTTTTTCTGCTGTGTAACAAACACGCAAATCAACACACGTTGTAGTCCCAGTTGTATCTTTATCACACATTGGTGATATATCAGGTTATAAATAAATCTATGATGCTGGTCTTTACATGCAAAATCAATTGTGGCTTATTTTTGGGTAACCAGCGTATTATTTAATGTGGAAAACATCTAATTTGTACTTAAAACTGTTAGTGGATAAATCAACTGTAACATGAATTTAATTGTCGTTTGATTGTCTTTCATTACGTAATGTCTCTTATTATGCAACATTACTAAAAGTATACAGCCATGGGAGCGGCTCAGTGAGGCTGTACATACGCCCAGCGGGGGTTTGTGCTAAATGCTAACATCAGCAGGCTCGCATTATAACAGTAACATGCTGAGGTGAAGCAGGCATCACTTTGAGCATGTTTGCCAACTCAGTACTCTATCATTTGCACTAAACACAAAGCTGATGGAAATGTCATTCGTTTTGAAGATATTTTATCATAAAATCTGAATTTCATGTTAAATCATCCAATAGTTGTGAAGAGATTTCCACTCAAAGCAGAGTCCTTTGGATTCATTGTCTGGGAACCATGGAAGTCTGTTCCACGTTGTATGGCATCCCATCCAACAGTTGTTGATTTAACATCAAAGCATCTGGATCAAAGTGGTGGACTTACTGGCTGACTATCTCCGTTGTGTAAGACTTAAGATTCTAGTCAAGTCATATTTAAATGTTTCAAAATGTTCTGACATTCTTTCTTAACTAATGAATTAATGGATTAATAAGATCACAAAGATAACTGATATCTTCCAGCTGCCATGATAAGAAGATACATCGGAATAAGCCACTTAATGTGTACATAATCTACTTATTCATATTTATATAAATAGTTATCACCACAATACACCGTATTTAACTTTGTCTTAATGTACATTATTTAATTTCATATTCTGTTCTTGTACATATCATATTCTATTTACATGTATATAGACTTCTTGCATTATTTTGTATTGCTTATTTTTGTAATTTATGATATATGTTGCATTGTTGGAGGAGCTCAGTTCAGAATAATTTCATTACCATTTATACACTGTAGTTTATGTGCATATGACAATAAAAACCTTTGAATTTGAACATACTGTACAATTACTGTACTTATTGTCCGTCTCTGTTTTTACCTCCAGGGCCGTACTACAACCCGAGACCGAGGCAGCGCATCCCCAGGGACTTGGCAATGTGCGTGACTCCCAGCGGACAGTTCTACTGCTCCATGTGTAACTGCGGAGCCGAGCAGGAGCCCGACTTCAGGCAGCATCTTGAGAGCAAGCAGCACAAAGCAAAAGTGTCGGAGCTAAGATACCGCCACGAGATGGAGAACCTCGGCTACAGCTAAGAGACACAAGAGGAGAGTGGTCGGGGAGATAACAGAAAGAGAGTAGATTGACAGAGAATAAGTGGGAGACAAAAAGAGAAGACCAAAGTGCTGGAGGGCAAATACTTCCCTCTGTTAAAGGGGAACATTCAGAGAAGAGATTAGCACACATGGCCTCAAGACCTTGTTGCAATTCATTTGATACGCTAAAATCCTCATATTTAGCATAATGCTCCACAATATGAAGCTTCAATGAGATTTGATGGATTTATTTGATCCAGGTATTACTCTTGAAATGATGTCTGTATATTGAGGCTTGTAACATGTTTGCAGATAACAGACATGTAAAAAAACGAATACAGATTTTCGATGTACAAGTTCTTTATTTAGAGTTAGATACAGTTTGAGACACTCCACTCTGTCTCAGTCTCCTCTGAGGCTTTGAGTGGGTTGCATTGTGACTCAGGATGCAGGTAAATGCAAATGGATTGCAAGTACATCTTGAGCTTGATCAGGCTGCAGGAAAAGGACTAGTGGTGCACAGAAAGCCAACATCCCAGGAGAGGAGGCACATTTGGTACATGCACAGGGCTAAAGCATTTACAAGGAATGCAAAATGTGGAAAATAGCAAGAAGACTGGTAGACTGTTTTGGTACTTGAAGAATTGAAAAAAACACACACGTGGTCAGACAAGTGTCCTCGTTGGGATAACAATCAACGCTGAGGACAAAGTTTGAGTCCTACAGGTATTTTTTACAGGCCCTACAGAAGGGTCTTCAGGGCCACTTATAGTGACAACTATAAGCCACAAATTCAACATCTTTTTAACCTGACACAGGTTATAAATCCAAAGCTAATTCATAAAAAAACAAAGCACAACATCCTCTGTTATAAACAGTGTTACATTACATTACATTGCATTTAGCTGACGCTTTTATCCAAAGCGACTTACAATAAGTACATTCGACCAGGAAGACACAACCTTGAAGAAAACAGAATCATATAAGTACATCAGGTTTCATAGAGCCAAACATTTCAAGTGCTACTCAACTGGCTTTAGGTAAGCCAGTCCTTTATTAGTATAAAAGTGCTTCGTTAATAGTTCTAACGCTCGAAGTGGAGTCGAAAGAGATGAGTTTTCAGTGTGACATGAATCTATAAGCCTTAGCCGACTTGTTAGCGGTTTTCTGGCGTGTTTCAGGCTGGAGGCTACATCCTGGCTAGCCTTGTTTGTGCCTTTAGTGAGAATGAGGCTAAACTTAAAGAGTAAACTTTGGCTAGCCATTTTGACATATAGTGGAAACCAATCAATGCAACTGATTGGATTGTTCTATTATCTGTGTCGCCTCTTTTATTATGATAAATCCACATTATGTAAATATTCTCAAATGACATTAAAGATGTACATTTAGGATAATATACATGAATATTATTTAATCCTTTGGTTAATGTTAGCCTAGAATACATTGTAAATACTCATCTATCTCATTTAACTATGATCAGGATCTTATGTGCACTGACTGAATGTCTCAGCACTGTTTGTGTGTGGATGTTACTGTAGGCCCTTTATAGCACTTTGGGTGATGCCCTTGTTCATTGTTAAAGTACCATCTGTCTCGTTAAAAGCTGCTAGTCTCATCATTGTGACTGTGCCGGAGGACGGCACAGTGAGAGGAGAAGCTGTCTCTGAAGCTTCTTTTGAGGCAGGGTTCAAGCTTTATCTCTTTCTATTCAAGTCAGCCAAACTGGCATTGTGATAGGAAGAAATGTGACAATAGATCGGGAGTGATGCAGAGAGCTGAAAGCATTTGACTTAACTTTTAATTAGATTGCAAATGAACATGTTGAAGAGCTCATGGATGTTTTGGGTTGTAAGACACTCCATTTAATTCTCCTAACCAATCGCAATTCCCACAGGGGACATTAACAGATTTGAATGCAGTGTGACGTGGCTGCAGACAACTCACGTAATGTTTTCTGTTGTTTTTATAACTGACCCAGGTAGAGATGCTTTTTTCAGTATTCAACCCATCCTGAAAACATCAATTGTGTAATCGGAATCAAATTAGATTTTCTCTTTCTGTTTATTCGATTATCTGTTCCAGCTCAGTAGTGCTGAGCTGAACACAGCGCTGTCACAAAGTATTTGGAGCAACTCTATTAAGTAGTCAATGTAAACAAAAATCTACATTTTTATTGTTTGAAACACTCAATGTGACTTTTAAATTGTTATTTATATATTGATCATTAGTTCTTTAATTCTTTAAATAGAAATAATGAGTGTATTTATGGCTCAAGTAATCATTTACAGTATCACCAGTAGATTTTTGGATTGCAACATGTGTCACACATATTGTATACAAGAATAGATTACTGTAGTTCAAAGGTGAAACAGCTTCCCTTTAAATGTGCTTTTCTAACTTTCCACGCACACATGCACACCCAGTCAAAGCCTGATCGGGTCACATCAGCAGTGGTATAATGTGAAAGGAAAGCAATATCCTGGTTTGGTTATTTGCAGGGAGAGGCAGCTGTTCACATCTTTCATTTGACTCTTGGGCACAGAAACACCTGATCACACAGATGAGGACGCTCAGGAGAAAAGCACTGTGAGGATATTAACATGTGAGAGAGTTGGAGTGACTAACAGAGCATAGAAAACTAAATATGAGGCTGTTTTCACTGTGCCGTGTAGTTTAATAAGAAAAAGAACAAGGGTGAGCTGATGAAAGCAGAGCTGAAGTGAAAGCTGTGGGCGAGACACAGGGAGTCGAGGAGTTCTTCAGTTGCAGTCTGTTAATAGCTCTCCTCCTAGAAATAACATGCTTTGTCTTACATGAAGGAATGGATGGCACAACCTTTTATTATGTTGACAGGCTCACACTCCAATGCAGATGATGAACACTTTCAGCAAAAGCATAGAGACATGGGGAAAGTGTAGAAAGCTATCAAACTAAAGAGCCTTAAGATCCTATGAGATAACACAGTAGTAAATGGTTTCATGTATTTTGACTCTCTAAACCAGTGGTTCCCTAACCTTTTGGCTCAGGACCCCTTTAAATATCTACTTGATATTCACAGGTAATGGCCTTAGTGTGGACAAAGCTGGAATTATTCCCATCAGATTGTTTCTGTGAACAAGACATTGAAAATGTTAGGAGAGTTTTCACAGCTGAAAGCAAGTTTTGCATTATAAGATAAACTTGTCCATCTTGTAGACGGAACACTGTTTAAAATCTTTATTGTACTCACATGTCGGATATTTCTTTATAAAATAAAGTTTTGATTCATCAAATTATCTAATGGATACAAGGTCCCAGGAACAACACCGGGTTCTGGCCAACATTTGATAATGATAGCATGATACCATTGGCCCCAAAACATATATTTTCCATCATTGGGAAAAAGACATCTGTAAATCAGTATAATAAGATTTTCTTGCGGGAAATGCATTTCGACCTGAATTATATTCCTTCTTTTGCTCATGTGAATGAACCCAACTGGAGCGGATAAAAGATCTATTGTCCTCCAATATATTAGTTAGAACACTAAAGGAAGCCACAACAGGATTGACCCGAAAATAAAGGAGTTATGACAATTAACACAATACTCGACTATTTTCAGTTAAATTCCATTCTACCTTTATTGTTTTTTTTTGGTTGCACAAAGTAAAACCTTTGTGCAACCAAAAAAAAACAAAAGCCAATTAAATCAATAAATTACTGTGGCAAATGAAGTCATCTTCATTGACCTTGATATGTTAACAGGTTTAATATTTTGGCAATCGGTTCTTTTATATGCTCACTGTTACTGAAATAGATTAGATTTGCATTCATGCTTCTAGAAAGATTATTTGGTTGTTGTTTGAACTGGTAATACGCTAAAATATTGAGGTTAGTGTTTCTGTTTTGTTTTGTTCCAACTGTGTTTGCTTTTTAGAGACTGTAAGAGCTGGTTAATATAATATTAAGAACATAATTAGTTTTACTCTTCAACTATCAAAATCCTGGTGTATTTCAGCACCATAGGCTGAATTCCAGTCCTCTGTTGTGAAACACAGCGGTAATACATATCGCAGAGTATACATTGTATCTGGTTTATTTTGTGCATGAGTAAATTCATACTTAATAACTGTTGAGATGTTTTTTACTGGAGAGGGATGCTGTTCAATAATGACCGGCTAGAAATATCTGCGTTGTGCTTAATCTACAAAAGGGCAATGGAAAGATGATTTTTGCACTGAATTTAAAAGACATTTATAAAGATGATATATTGTTGTTAGTTCAAGTGAATATTTGCTACCATTGTCATAATTTGCCTCTCAACAATTTGTATCCTAATGTTTTACAAGATGAGAATTTGAAACTGTAAATGGATGTGTATCATATTTGTAATTGTGTGTGTTTATCCATTGGTTGCACTGATCATACTAAGGCAGATGGGCCACTGTGAGGTTATATCGGGAAAAAGAAGGTTACTATAATCTGTCATTTACAACCTAGTTTGGTACAAATTGTTATATAAAAAGATATATCGCTCAACGAAATTAGACACCACTGGTCTGGTGTTGACTTAACAAAGGGATGGTGATGGACCTGAGTTGTATATAGACTATAACTGTGAGCCTGTAGGGTTATACAGTAAAGCCCATAATAAGCTTAATGTGTATGACATGTATTGGGCAGTAGTTTCCAACACTTTGTAATTACAGTGACAAACAGTTGTCTGGAGAAGGTTGAATCCAAATGATTTGGTCATCACTTTTCCGTTGATCTGAAAGGCTTCTTCAGTCCATCTGTTGTGGATAATAGTGGTATCAGGTAACTATGCTAACCATGAGCCGCAGGACAATCCACTTTTACAATGAGGGAATGGTAAGAGTCCTCGGCCACTATCACTCTTCAGCAACAATTAAGCTGAAGAGGCTCTTTGGATGAACAGTGAAGGTGTCTTCAATCAAAACTCTCGTCCAGTGTTTTGCATTTTCTCCAGCCACCGGAGGCATCAGGATTAGAACCATTGTTGAGAACAACTTGTGATAAAACAAAATGTGTTTTGATAGCAAGATTTGCAAAGGCACAGTTTCAAATTTTGTGAAATACCTTTTGTCACTTTCTTGCTTTGAGTTTGATGAGGATTGACACCACTGCCATGTCTGCAAATTGTGAAAGTATGGAGCTAAATCCAGGGGGTGGTTAGCTTAGCTTAGCTTAGCATACTGGCTGAAACAGGTTCAAATTACTACCGTTTCAAATTTGCCCAGTGGTCAATTTCGGTTTGGCAACAAATAATTGTGTTGCATCCTAAAAGGCATTTTCCATATGGTCACAATTATAAAAGAGACGTCTGTATAACTGTTGACATAACCAGGAAGTACAACCTGAAGTTAGGAAAGCTTTTGGGCTCCAGCTCCATACATGCCTTCAGAGGGTGGGAGTGGTCTCTATCTCCTGCTCTACCGCTCCAAGAAAGTCAAAAGAACATTTCCCAAAACTACTCTGTATATGTTGAATCTGCCTATTCACTTCTGCTGTAATAATTTCTAATGTTGTAACTCAATCACAACATATAGAGAATGTCATGCTTGCCTCACATGAAGCCAATGTTTCCTGGTCTTGTACATACATACATAGAATTCTACTGTCAGGGGCCCCAACACATCCTTCAAAGCGCCCACTGCAGGACACCATATGTTCCTGTACTCCTGTGAAAACCTCAGCACACTTTCAGTGCCTCTAAACAATGTTGCCAATATACCACTGACAGACTCGATGGATGCCTGGACGACTGATACTCTGATTTCTGCGGCTGTGTATGCGTGTGTGTTTTCTGAAGGATGAATAAACGAGCAGATGATAATAACACCCAAGCTGAGTTGATGATCATTACGGTGAATGTGTGTCTCGTGTGTTCTCTTCCATGGCTCAGATCTTACCGCTCCGGGGGAAATAACCACTCTGTTAGCGGATGCTGTTATTGGCTCACAGTGAGGAGACGCTCTCCATAGCCTAGTTTCCACTACACTGATAGCCAGGCTGCTCTCGTTATTATGGATATTACTGACACTAAGAAAGCTGTTCCTGTGCCCCTAGTTTGTTTGTTCGCCTGTCAGCAGGATATTGCACAAACATTATAAACAGATTGCCTGCAATGTGGTGTACTGGCCTCAGGTTTTTTTTTGGACTTCCAGGATGGTTATTTATTTTGCAACCATAAAAATCAATACTTAAATTGGGCTAGTAGTCACACATTAAATATATTACCTACAGTAAACAGTGTTAGGGAAAACAAGTCTTTTCCAACAAAAATGCGCTGCCTGCCTGTTCATTCAGTGTACATTTTGAAAATCCTTCACGCCACATGAATTACTATTAATACTTCATGGGGTATTTGCACTTTGATATTTATAAGTCATATGCCACGATTCTCGTTCCTGAAACACTGCAGGTGTATTGTTGAGGGTTCAGAATAAGGGTTTCCCACACATAGACTATACTTGGGGGGGCCGCCCAGGGTATATTTCACGACCCATTTAGGTTTGTTGTTTTTTTTATAATTTTTTTTTTTTATTCGTCCCGTGACCCCGACGCCATCTGCGATCGATTACTTGTAGACAATGATCCCTCGCTCCCTTGCTCTGATCTCGCTCCTTCTGGCCTGTTTAAGTGGCATCTGCCTCACACAGGGTGACTGGCTGTCCACATGAGTGTGCCTGCCGACATGGCTACTGTCATACAGATTCATAAATCAAAGCCCTTGATTGGTCTCTGTGTGTCATTCAAGCTCGGGATAACCTCAGCTCAGGTGAGGTAAAGGACTCTCTGAGTGTTTAGATAGTTAACTTAGTCTAAGTTCTCAGTGGGTCTCAAACGGTGTGGTCACCATTTATGTAAACACATATTTCTATTTGAGAGGGTGATTGGTCTAATGGATAGTGAGGTGGGCTGAAGATCGGAAGGCTGTGAGTTCAAATCCCGCCAGGAACACCACCACTAGTGTGCCCTTGAGAAAGGCACTTAGCCCTTAGTTACTCCAGGGAGAATGTCCCTGTAATCGGTCATTATAAGTCGCTTTGGATAAAAGCGTCAGCTAAATGAAATGTAATGTGATTAGTAAAATATGCATGAATAAATAAATAAAAAGTTAACTAGGTGAAAAAAGGTAAGATACACTTTTAAAACTTGTTGAGAGAAAACTAGTCTTTGCTGCTGCCTCAAAGAGGAGCAGGGGGGAGAGACAGGAGAGGCTGATTCCAAAAATAAATTAATAAACAAGTTTCAGTGTTTTTTTCATATTGGAAATGGTATGTTATTGGTTATGGCCATGATTTTATGATTATTGAAATGTATACCGTTCTGTTTAATATAGGTGTTTCCATAGATCTAGTCTCTTTATTTTCCCCTCAAAATGCACCAGATTGATGCATTTAACTCCAAAATAAAAAATAAAATCTTACCGGGGGGGCATGCCCCTGGACCCCCCTAGAGGATTTGAGGTCGACCCCCACTAAAAATCACATGGATAGGTTCCTAAATACATTTATAAATACATTTTTTTTTAAAAATAGTAATCCATTTCCATATGTTCATGTGTGGGTAGTAGATTTAAACTATAGGGCTATCATTATGGGCCCTGCCTGTACCTGTTCGCTCTGCCATCGCGTGAAGGGTCTGCTAACAAGCGACCAACAGAAAGGTTAATGTTAATGTTGTTGCACGTCACCTTCTATAAAGCGGCATGTAACTGTATAATTATATTCTTTGCAAGCTCTTGCAGGCCAGATAAAATGAAGTCGCAGCGGGCCTTGAGTTTGACACCCCTGGTCTAATGGATTTGTGTTCCTGAATCATTACTTAATCATCACCATCACTTATCATATCCTCTATTTGTCTAACAGAAGATTTAAAGTTGTTGAGTCATCACAACTGTTAAAAACTATACAAATTTCTCCCAGGGTTGTGAAAATGTAAAGCAGAAAGATTTTAATGTGTTTAAAATACAATCGTTGTTAGCGGCACAAAACTCCCTATGCGTTATGCCGCTAAGTGCCTAATATGTGCTCTTTGCTGTGACGCGTTCCATATAAGAGTCCAAAGTCATTTATAGTCCAGTGTTTAATAAAACGAAAACAAACAATATACAACTCCCGACCTAACGGTCATCAGAGCGCCATTCACCCTCTTCCTACATCATATCCTCCAAACCGGCATCCAACAGGTGACTAAAATACCAATAAACCACACCCACGTGACCATTTCCGGAAGTGATAAACAATAAGAATTAAACGTGATGCAAACAGAAATGAAGATAATAATAATAGAAGTAATAAGTAATGGCAAAAAAGGCATTTTGGCTCATAAAATCGTAATTGTCATCATCACCATCATTATCAAGGCTGTCAATGCCAGACGATGGTTCTGTGTTGACACTGGATTGCTCTATAGATTATGGCCATATAGTTGCCCTGGCAAGGCCTTGAGCCTCATAGCCAGTCTTTGCTGCAACATTAAATGCTTTTGATAAATTCTTGAACAAATCAGACTATTAGAGTATCAATATAATGAATATGTATTATGTATTAACTCCCGTTTTTGACTTCCACATATCGTCACCTTACAAGTTTATATTTCAGAACTTGTTAGCAAACAGTTATTCACACATCCAGCAGATACAGTTTCACATAATGTTTCATTCATAATTGTGTTTCTCTTCGCCTGGTGAATACGAATCCAATATTCACTCTCCTTTTAGCTATGTTGTAGTCTCTACCAACTCAAACTTATTGGCTATTATGTAACACAAATGTACATAAAGCAACAGGTGCTTTGTATAATGCACTAAGCACACAATACAATTCTTTCAATCCCTTTTTAACTTGTCATCTTTTGTTCTGGAGAGTGCCCCTTTCTATTTAAGAGTGTTATAATTGATGTGCGCTGTTCTTCGATATCATTCTTTTTGTGAATGCCTTTTTCTTTTCTGTTATGAGCTTTTCTGTTATGTTGTATTTTATATCTCATATGAACAACACAAGAAACCACTTAATAATGACAAACACATGTCCACTCAGTTCCACTGTTATGACAGAACAGTGGAGGAAGGGAGGGAGATGTTTAATAAACAGGAAATCAATCAGTGAGTAGTTGTAAAATGCCCAATAATGACCTGCTCTGTGCCCTCTGTAGGTCATTGAAATGGTATAAACTGTACATTTCTGAAAAATAGAGGCTAAATATGTACCTATATAACGTTGCAAGTAGAGGATAAAAGATTTCCAAGCAGAACTTGCAACTAATGTTTTTGTTTAATGCAACAAGTGTGTTGATTCTGTGATGAAAAGTTACTATATAACAGTATTTACTACATCATTCCATTTTATTGATCCTGGTTGAGAAGTTTGCATGTCACATTGGCAGTACATCAATAAACCACATTGTCATAATAATGCTAAATCAAACCTCAAGTACTACCATGGAATAATAGAGTATTTCCTATCAAGCAGATCCATGCATACAAAGTGCAAAGGTGCATTATAATTTTGTGTGCAGCTATTGACAGGCACATCTATGGAAAATAACAAACAAACTTTTGTCTCTTCATTACATTATAGCAGTAATGTAAATGCATGGCTTCACCCTTGTAGAACAATTCATTACATAAGAAGTAAGATGTATACAATAATTGATACAAAAAAATCCAGCTCTAATACTTGCTTAATTAATAGTTAATTCAGAGAAAAGTAAACTGCAACAATTCCAATACTTCATGGTCAAAGTATTTATTTGAAGCCGTTAAATGTGAAAGTATACTTTCTTAGTGTGATATGATAGCAGAGAGAATATGTTTGGATTTTGAACTGTTGTTCCAAAACAAGGCATTCAAAAGCGTCACCACAGGCTCAGGAAACACATAATCAGTTATTGAAGAAAATATTTGGTAGAAAGATGAAAAATGTTGCATAACCACTAAGTTCAATAATTATAACTGGGGAAGAAATTATGCTTTTGAATGAACTCTGATTTTCTTTTTAAAAAGCCCACTAACCGATTTCCTTTCTTAGAATATTCATATTTGATTTCAGAGCTGCAAACATGCATGCAGCAATGTAATGTTGGTTTATTATTAAATGCATAATGATTAAGCATGTTTTTAAGAAAGCTGCATTTTACAGATTAAACAATAGGAATATTGTGTAGAGCAAAGTTAAAATGTGCCCAAGCTGCTGTTGATGTTGTTGCTGTTGCATTGTGGTTATTTAGCATCCTCTGTTGGTCAGACACAGAAAGACAGAGGTCTGATTTTGTATTAATTATAAGAGAAATCTTTCACTTTTTTGTATGAATTAACAATCAATTAATGTGTTGGCCGATATAGCCTATATTGTTTTTTTATACAGATAATAGTACATTTGATCAAGAATTTCATCTGAATTGGGCTATTCTGCGCAATAGGTACTTCTGCGTAATTTTAACAACATGATTCTTGAGTAATTTTTCCAATACTAACAGATTCACAATTTTTTTTCTGGCCACACACATTTTTGTAATTGTTTGCCCTATTTGAAAATCATCATGTATGTGAATTATCAACTATTTATTAAAGTACACATAAAAAGCAAAATGATTTAAACACAGCGTACCATGGGTTGCATCCCTCTGGCAGTGAAGGAGCACTGGGTCAGAACTCTCTGTAGTCAGCGGCGCAGCGACTGTCCACAAAGTGTTGGTTTGCACCTGTTTGCAGTCTGTCGAGGCAGGCCCAGCAGAATCTATTCAAGCACTTTGAGCACGTCATCATATTACATCCTCTGTTCTTCTACAACACAGAACACAATAAGATATGTGTTAACACATACAGTAGTACACAGTCAGAAATGTACACTGTAATAAAATGATTATCTGTAAACAATTGATCGTCTGCACACATGAGTTCACGTGCAATCAAAGCCAGACAGCAGGACTTCTGTAATAGGTGAACACAGTATCTGGATACCTGTATTCTGCAGAAGCAGTGAGGACAGTTCTTGCTGTTAACGACTATCCAGTCTTCACTCAGACAGTCCTCCACAGTTTCCCTCATTATTTTGCGGCCGTATCTGTTCTCCAGGAGGCGCTGTCTCTGCTTACTGCCGCTGGCATAGTCGTCCCACAGAGCCATCAGCCCCTCTGCAGACACACAGAAACACATCCAGACACAACACAATACACACAAATCAGAGGTGGAATTTGTCTAAGTACGTCTACTCAATTACTGTACTAATTACACATTTGAGCTTGTAAAGGTAAATAAAATAATAACTATATTTAGTTAGCATTTTAGATGCTTCTTCTTTTCTTCTAAAAACTGTACAGAATAACATACCATTTAAAACATAAAAAAAGTGATTTAAACCCCCCTGTATGACATACATAATTAGGAACATGAGAGAACATCATATGAAGCAACATGATATTATATATTATAAGTGGCAAGTGCAAATAAAAAACAAGTTCTTGTATAATAAGAAAAATTATCTCATAAGGCATATTTCAGTCACGAAATACCACATAATAAGGTGAAAATATAATACAGAAATGGTCTTATAAAAGGCAGACATATTTGAATAGAATAACCTTAAAACATTTGGAGGTGCTTATCCAAATACTTAAATGATGATACTAAAACAATACACATGAGATGACAAGAAAGTGAAAATAATAAATATAACACTTTAAAATAGTTTGAATAGTAATATAAAGTGATGCGATAATGGAAAGAGAAAACATTCTAGGTCGTCTTAGGATAATGAGTTTGAAGGAATCACATACTATACAGAGAAGCTGAATGAGAAACCAATGTGAGTTTGGAAAATTGCACAATGTAAATCTATTCTAGTAGACCTCAACAATGGAATTATGATCAGTAGAAATGGCCATGACATGGGACCTTTAATGTAAACGTAAAAATGTTTTTGATCAGCTGATATTGCTTTTCCTTGTATTTAAAGTATTTCCTTTTCATGCCACTAAAAACATCTACTGCATTACATTTTAAAGGAAAAAAAAAACATTTTACTTCAATAGATATTATATTATTTAAAAGATTTAGGTTTTCAGTTACTTTACAAATTATAAGCTAACATGTTACACATACGTCTGCTTGTGTACCTTGTGACTGTGGCAGGTTTGCAATGCCCAGCTGTATTTCCTGTGTTTTCGTGCTCTTCTTCGCCCGGCACTCTTCTGTTCCATGGTAGGTCTTCCTGCAGCTGACGCAGAAGGCAAAGCCGCACACAGAGCACTGGGCGGCACGGCTGGACTTCTCCACAATGACGGCCGAACCACAGGAAGTCCGAGGGCAGTACACCACATCTACGTGAAGAGGAGGAGGAAAAAAGCACTAATCCATGAACCCACAGATTTTTTTTATGTATATTAAGGTGCTGAAAATATTATTTCTGTTTGGATATTCATGTGTCTCGTTTAACAACTGGCTCGAGAATAGCAGCTGAACATCCCATGCTTACCCTTAAATGGTTTCTGTATAATGGGGGATAGTCATTTGACAGGCTGACTCATATGACTATATATATTGGTGTTACATGAGTATATTAGGGGTGTTATAAAAGTGTAATTATGGTGTAATGTGGGAGCCATAATGATGTAATAGGGGTGTATTATTGTGTAATATGGGTGTTATAACAGTGCAATAGGGGGAGTAATGTAGAATATAGCAATCAAGAAATGTTCATTTTTCTCAATGAGATTGCCCATTTAAGTGTTATAATGGTACACACCACCCATGCAGTCCAGCGTTGACTGTAGAAGGAGATGATCGTAGCGGTCGAACAGCTCCTCCCCTACCAGACTCCTCACCTACAGCACAAGGACAGTAGAAGGAGAAAAACTGTGTGTCAGAGAAGTCCGTAAATCTGAATCAAAATGCAAACTAATAAATATTAGTGTATTTTTGTTGACCTGTACCAATTATTAGCTGATATAAGCTTATTCAGGATAATTCGATTGTTGGTTGGTATATCTGCATAAACTGTATTTTTTTTACTTTTTTTACTATTTTTTACTTTTTTTTAACCCTTTTAGTAAGCTACTCTTCAGCCCAAACATCTACAGTATTAAAGGTTACTTACATATTGATCAATAATAGTATAACGTAATATAACCAAAAATTAAGTTATTATATAAATTATATATCTATATAAATCAAGGAGAATTTAAGTAATATTCCTGTACTTTTACTTAGATTCAGTAACATATTGAATGCTTGATTTTCACTCATAACAGAGTATGAACATTGTAGTATTGCTACCTTTACTCAGGTAAAATATCCAAATATTTTTGCTCAGTTTGAGCATAGGTCTTAGCTTCCAGAAGAAGCTAAACAGAAGAAAGCGCTGAGGTTGGCAGAAGGGACAGATGGACAGATCTGTACCAGTGCAGGTGTGGGGGTGGCAGGGCAGTCAGCGTCAGGACAGATGACCCCTCGGACGTTCCCCTCTTTTATCTGGAGCTTGCAGAATTTGCAGAGACAGGCCCGGCAGAAAATATGGCCACATTCCGGCAGCTGCACACAGTCCGAACCAAGCCAGCCCTCAAAACACACACCACAGTCAAACACGGTGGTGGCAAACATTTTCTGTTTCTGAGCCGCATTATGGATCAAGAGCTGGGAGAGGAGAGTTTGTGACGGAGTAAGCGAGAGACCAGAGAGCGTTTGGTCTTCATTCTGAGAGGATTCTGAGGAGTGGGGCAAAGAAGCAGCTCCTTGTTCACTTTGATCCAGTGGGTCTGAGGAGCTGGGAGGAAGTAGTAATGAGGCTGAAACATCCCCTTCATTTAAGAACTCTTCCTGGCCATGTTTCAACTTGCCTGCGGCTGAGGACAGATTATTCTGGTGGTCAGCCGTAAACTCTGAGATCTGTTTAGCCTCACTAGCATCTGAAGATATTTGGTTAGAGTGGTCATGGCCATCTGTAAGGAATACTCTTGGATTCTCCTCTTCTAAGGATCGTGCAGAAAGGTCTGGATTACATAAATCTGACACATTACAAACTGTGGGTTCTGACTTTGGATTGGAGTGATTGTTCTTTGGTTCCAAGAGTGCAGCATTTGATGGTTCCTGCAGGCTGTGTTCTTCAGAGGGGAGCTCCAGCAGAGTATGGATGTCCAGGAACTTGAGAGCATCTTCTTTAAGAAACTGTAACCAGGAGAAGAGCACCACAGCGCCTCCAGTGGCCTGGTAGAGGTCAGTCAGCTGATCAGAGACTGCAGAGAGCTGTGGGAGATGAGGGCAAATTGATTGATGTAATCTTTGTTGACACTTTGCAATATGCAGTCATCTATTTCTGTCTGGCAGGTTGTAAATGTGATCAATAACGTTTTAATTGACCCACATGGCTTGTACTGATTACCTGAGTGTGTGTCAGCCAGCTGCAAGAGAGGGTGAAGTAGGGGGGGCAGCAGGATGGGTAGTCCTCAGGGAGTTCAAAGGTCAGCAGCACAGGTGGAAGGAACGATATCTCATACTGCCTCAGTGTATCTCCTTTGGAAAAAACAATAAGATCACATGACCAAAGTGCATTACATACTTTAAACAATTCAGTAAATGTGTGGTCCAAGTTAGTAAGTACATTTAATGAAGCACTGTACTTAAGTAACATTTAAAGATACTTGTACTTTACTTGAGTATTTATATTTATTTTTGCTACTCTGTACTTCTACCCCCACTACAATTCAGAGGTTAATTGTGTACTTTTAATCCACTACATCTACACTGCCTTTAGTTACTTTACAGATTTAGATTAATAATGTGAAATATAAAAACTTAAATAAGACTTTAGTGACACCTGGAGTAAATTCACAAGCTACCCTGCCGTATACAAAGTAATTAAAACTAGCTGCACCTTTACAAGCTTTGATAACAGATTAATGCATCAATAATTATAATCAAAACACATGATATATATTATTCTGAAATGGACCAATCTGCATAATAAGTACTTTTGCTTTTGGCACAGTATATTTTGATGACAATACTTTAGTACTTTTACTTGAGGAACATATCGAATACACAACTTTGACTTGTAACAGAGTATTCTTACATTCTGGTACTTATACTTTTACTCAAGATCTGAGTATTTCTTCCACCTCTGCTTATAAGTAACATTGCTTGGATGATATAATACAAATGGTAAAATATACTATAGCCAACTGTAAGATATAGTATTTTTCAATTATAACGTGTCTCACGTATTTCCAATTTAAAGCTAATTGACGGATCTAATTTTTTACAAAATGTTCATTTTATAACCCACACACCCTTCTATTATATCAACAACATCACATTTTTCAAGCTGGTGTATTTACCTTCTTTCAAAAGCACGTTGAAGCCTGCAGGCAGCTCAACACACGCTCGGATTTCTCCGGCAAACTTCGACTCATTTCGGACAAACTCCTCCGAATCAAAAATACTCTCCAGGGCGAGCAGTTCGTCTTCCTGCTCCTCGATGTCCGCATTCATATCTCCAGTCCCAACAAACCTCACCTTCTGCTCAGTGCTCCTCGCTCTGTTTGTTTCTGAAGCTGCCTGTTTGGGAAATAAGTATTTGACTTAGCTTGTCAAATCCTTCCGGTTAAGTGCATGGATTGCTAGTTGTTTCGGCGACCTTTAAAACAATTCTTGATAGTGTGTGAACTTCTCGGTGTACAGTAGACTGTGCCAGCCTGCTCCCGTTGACTCATCTGTGTATGATGCAGCACAAAGCAGCAACCTCACCCCATGCTGATGACTCTGCAAAACAGGCCAACATTATGTAATTTACGGTAATTATGTTCACAAACTTTGCACACACTATAGGTAGCCTACTTGTGGGTTGTCTGTCGCCACTTTTGTTCAGACTCTAAATACGCACTGTTTTGTTTTGTTTAGAATCTCTAAAAGTCTAAATAACCCTAACCTTAGGATTAATGTTTGTTATTTAGAGAAATTAAGGTAACACTTTATTTTGATAGTCCACATTTAACACTCTATAAGTCATCAGTTGACATTTAGTAGCATGTCAACAGCGTATTAACCAATATTCAACCTTACTATCTGTATATTGTGTCAACATCTTCAAAATTGACAATCAACTACTCAAAATCAATCTGTCAGTTGAAAGTCAACAGGGTCATGTTGACTTTCTGTTGATAATCTGTTGAGAGTCAAGATGTCAACTAAAGATTACATTAAGCATTAGTTGATGATCAACAGATAAGCAACTTTAGAGTTTAGTTGACTATCTGTTGATCGTCAACTAATCTAGAGTTAACTATCAGTATACTTTTAGTAGGCATTCTCCACTAAGCGTTTGTAGGCATGTGTTAGGACTATCCAATTAAAGTGAAACACAGTTGAGAACAGTAGAAAGTCTATAACCTATCAACAGAACACATACATTCATCCACTAATTATATGCAACAGACATGGGAATAAAGCGAAATGTTTTGCACAACTGATCACAAACTTTATTTATTCATTATGTATGTAATGTTTGAGTTAGAAACACCTGTTCCTGTTTTATTTGACTAATATATAAGATAAACACAGAAGCCTAATGCATTCACTTGAGAACAAAAGGTTTTTCACAAGAACTCACAATCTACAGATAGTAAGGTTGAATATCGGTTAATAACCTGTTGCAAAAAACATGTTGACAGTCAACAGACACTTTTTGTAAAATCTATAGATCAACACTTGAGATGGACATTATATTCTACTGGCAGTTAGTTAAATGCATGTTACTTGTCTGTTGAAACAGTGTTGTTGAATGTCAACTGATGACTTGTAGAGTGTTAACTATGGACTATCAAAATAAAGTGTTACCGAAATTAAAAAGTTCATGTTGAGGATCCAGCTACCCGCCATTAAAAAGTGGCGACAGATAACCCACAAGTACCCGATATTGGTATGAAGGTATGGGGTTCATATCCAAACATATTTTGAGTTGCATACATTTTCCGGGAATCAAAGACATGTTGATATACAGTATACATAGATATATACTATACTGCAAATGAGTGTATAACGTGGTGGAATATAGCGTAGTGTACTTTATATACTGCTTTATTTTTACCTTTTGCTACACTACATAATATACAGATTAAGATTTGCCCTAGAAAACAGAGACATAATAACCCTTTTTAGCACAAATAAAGTTCCCAAACAAGACTAAAATCATTTGAAACAACAGGACATGGTGATGGTGACAAGTTGACAACCATGTATGTCTGTAATACAACATGCATTGTTACCATACACAATAACCTAGTCAAAAAACTAAGTAAAGGGAAATAAATGGAAGGTTAGCCCTTTGAGGGTCTATATTATGAAGAGTTATACTTAGTATAACTGATGATTTGTATGTTGGATTACATCTGAAGCACATATTTGAGTTTAATTTAATAAACAGAAAGGTTTGAACTGGATTACAGAATCAATCAGTTACATTTCAAACTGGGGAGCCATCTATTTGCCGTCTGATTTGAAGAGTTTGTCATCTTAAAGCTAAAGTGACCAGTGTTTCAAATGACAAATGAGCTCTATTGTAAACAAGTGTTGAACACACAGTATCGCTCTTGAACTGCTCCTCTTCCTGGAATGAATCATGGCTTGATAACCCCTCCCTGTTCTTCCTGCTCATATATTTCCCTGTTCCCTCCCCTTTAGATCTACAGTTTGAAGATGGATGTAACCAACAGAGTGATGGGCAAAAGCTGCAGACACACAAGTTATTCAGATCAACGCTGAATCTAGTTCAGTTTCTCAGGAATTGAAACTGAGTCAGTTGTCGCTGAGAGGTGAAATGGCGCAGAAAGGGTTTGAGCTGGACCGTGAAACCTTCTCTTGTTCGATCTGTTTGGATCTACTAAAGGACCCAGTGGCTATTCCCTGTGGACACAGCTACTGCATGAACTGTATTCAAAGCTATTGGGATGAAGAGGATGGAAAGAAACCCCACAGCTGCCCTCAGTGTAGGCAGGCCTTCACACCAAGGCCAGTCCTGGGGAAAAACACCATGTTAGCAGCTTTAGTGGAGGAGCTGAAGAAGACTGGACCCCCACCTGCTTCTGCTGATCTCTGCTTTGCTGGACCTGAAGACGAAGCATGTGATTTCTGCTCCGGGAGAAAACTGAAAGCTCTCAAGTCCTGTCTGGTGTGTCTGGCCTCTTACTGTGAGAAACACCTCCAGCCTCATTATGATTCACCCAAATTTGCGAAACACAAGCTGGTGGAGCCCTCCAGGAGTCTTCAGGAGAACATCTGCTCTCGTCACGACGAGGTGATGAAGCTGTTCTGCCGCACCGATCAGCAGTGTATCTGTTATCTCTGCTCTGTGGACGAACACAAAGGCCACGACGCGGTGTCGGCTGCAGCAGAGAGGACTGAGAAACACAAAGAACTCGAGGAGAGTCGACAAAACATCCAGCAGAGAATCCAGGACAGAGAGAAGGAGGTGAAGCTGCTTCAGCAGGAGGCGGAGGCCATCAATCGCTCTGCTGATAAAGCAGTGGAGGACAGTGAGGAGATGTTCTCTGAGCTGATCCGTGTCATGGAGAAGAGAAGCTCTGATGTGAAGCAGCAGGTCAGATCCCAGCAGGAATCTGAGGCGAGTCGAGTCAAAGAGCTTCAGGAGAAGCTAGAGCATGAGATCGCTGAGCTGCAGAGGAAAGACGCTGACCTGAATCGGCTCTCACACACAGAGGATCACATTGAGTTTCTTCACAAATACCCTTCACTGTCACAACCCACTGAATCTGCAGACTCATCCAGCATCAACATCCGCCCTCTGCGTTACTTTGAAGATGGGACAGCGGCTGTGGCAGCAGTCAGAGATAAACTTCAAGACGTTCTGAGAAAGAAATGGGCCGACGTCTTACTGACAGTGAGTAGGGTAGATGTTTTACTGACAAAACCTCAGCCAAAGACCAGAACTGATTTCTTGGTGTGTTCAAGGGAAATTGCAATGGATTCAAACACAGCAAACACACGCCTGTTATTATCTGAGGGTAAAAAAATAAAGGAAATAAGAAAGAAAAGAAAAAAACATTTTGTTATCACCCAGCCAGATCCACTTCCTGTTTTGAATTCCCAAGTAGAGGGGGTTGACTGGATGCCGTCACTGCGACGTGGAGTTGAGAGGGAAAGAAATGTCTCACAAATGCTGGATTTGTTTTTGTCTAGTGACTGAAGACACACTCTCTTAAATAGACAAGTCATTTAAGAGAGTGTGTGTCATTCTGGGTCATAAGAAAGAAAGCACCAGAACTTCCTTTATTGTACATATTTTGATCTTTGTAAAGGAATCCTTAATTGCTTTAACATTTACTGTATTTTCAGGTAGATCAATGGTGTTGTAGTCTTTGTTATAAGGTATTAAAAACTGTAATAATCATAAAGAGATTGTTCATTATTGTCTTTTACAATGCTGGGGATCTGGTGAATTGCTTGTGTGGATAAAGGGAAAATGTACATTAAATCAGTGAACGACGGTCATTTAAGAGACTTTACCGATGGGATGTGTACAAACTGAATGTTTCCATAATGAATAAACAAACAGGAAGAAAGCATGTTCCTCTTGTCTTTATTCCTGGGTATCACACAAAGCTGATAGAGCATACAATATAAGAGTATAACTGATATAGTTTAGCTCCTGATGCACCACAAGGTACTTTTTTCGTCATTAAAACAGGTGTTATTAATATTTAGTCAGGCTTGTTTTTGCCACTTTAGCATATTGACTAAGCTGCTGTTGTTGAATGTGAGAGTTGCCACTGTCTGTCATAATTAAAGTACAATCTTAGTACTTCTGTTCTTCTAAATAAATGAAATGGCTTATGAAGACCACAACATTCTTATCTTATTCATTCAAAATAAATCCGAGGATATGATTGAAATAAAAATCAACAGTAATAGCTTTAGTCACAAAGTTTAATCATGATAAAAAGTTATTATATTAAAGTTACTGGTACTGGTTTTAATATGCAAATGCAATCATTCTGTGACGATAGCACCTATCTGTGCGATAGGTGCACCAATCATTACATTATTTAATAATACAATAACAGATGCAAAACTACAAGTGTAAAAATGCCAAAGGAAGATGATTATGGCACAAAATATTTTTAAATATATTCATTCCATTCAGCTAAATAAATAATAATAAGGCTCAAAATCTGAAAAATGCATTTCAATGTTCGGTAGAAAAGCTGTTATTAAGTATTACACTTTTAGTATCCTTCAGTTGCAGCTGTAGTTTTCGTTCAGGTTGACCTGGCTCTCCAAGACCTTCTCTGCCATGCCCAGAGGCTTGGAGACTCTGTGGGATTTCAACTTGAGACTCAGGGGCCGGGGGACTGTTTTGGATTTCAACATGGCAGTCAAGGGCCTGGGGCCCCTTGGGGATTTTAACACAACACTCTTCTGGAAGCCATTAGCAGATGCTGGATTGAGAGAGACAAATAGACAAGGTATTTACATGCTCTGTTCATCCAAAAGATAAATTAAACATATTCAACATTATCCTACAGATTCTATAGTTTCAAACACTATGACGAAGGCTGCACATTGTCATTTTATTAAAATGTGGAGTCTTGGTTTGGTTAGTGGCTAGTGTTGTTTGGTTAGCAGGGATGCTACTGTTGTATGGAGAGGCCCTGATTCCCACCTGACACCCGGATACACTCTTCCTTGTGTCTTTCATCCCAAGCTTTCAGTTTGCAGTTCCTGGAGCAGTAGAAGACGTTGTGGCAGCGGCTACACGCGGTCAGCTTCACGGACACAGAGCGACCGCAGTGATAGCAGAAGTTAAAGGCAGGATTCCTGAGAAAAGATTCACACAGGTAGAGTTCCAAACAGGCTTTCCTTAAAGGTCTCCTATTATGCAAAATCCACTTTGCATGTCTGTTATACATAAAGATTGTGTCCGCTCTGTGTAAAGAGATTCTGAAAGTTTCAGGAAAAAAGATTTGCTCTCTTTTTGTCCTGATCCATTTATATTATATTACATTACATGTCACTTGTTAGACACTTTTATCCAAAGCGACTTACATACTCAATACTGTGGGCAATCCCCACAGGAGCAATTTGGGGTGAAGTGTCTTGCCCAGGGACACAACGACATGCTACTTTGTGATGTCATAATGTTTTTTTGGGTTGTGTAACCGTTAGCCAAAAATCAACCAAGTTAACCTTATCACCTGAATCTCCTCCTAGAGCACAATGTATATGTGTATTTTAACCAAATCTCTCTCAGAGGGGCGTGGGGAGGGGCTCCTTATTTTCATCTAAAGTAACAGACAGAGAATCAGCACTTTTGAAACAGGGCTGAAACAGAGGGGATTATGGGATGCTGCAATGATCTGTTGGGTATTTGGAGCCAAACACTTCAGAGACATGTTTTGTATATAACTGAGACTTATATTATATTGATGAAAAACAGTATAATAGGGGACCTTTAAGTAACATTGTATTCAAGGACGGACAAAGTACATGTTCAAATGACATTAGAATAAAATAAATAGGACAGAATGGAAATGAATGTATGTAAACAGGTACCTGTGTGTTACTGTTGTGGGTGGTATACTTTCACAGCTGGGGAGGGGCTGGTTTGATGGACCTGCCCCTGTGTGCACACACCTCTCTGTGCTACTGGTAACTGTAACAAATACAGTACACATACATTATAATTTAATAAAAAACAAAACACAAAATAGTTTCAAAAAACATTGTACTGACTATTCGTTGTATGGTGTTGTTCTATCTCTCTCTGGGCAGCAGTCTGTCTCAGCAGATCTCCCATCATGCTCAGCAGCTGGCGCCGTGCTTTGAATGTTTCTCTCTCCCGCATGCTCAGAGCGTGGAAGGGAGTGTTGGCAATATGCGAGTCCTAAATGGTAACAACATTGGGTTAAAACGACTTAAAAATAACTTGATTTTAATCTTTCTGTGTCCATTGAAATACATTAGTGGGGCAAAAATATTAAAACACCTATCTATGTAATAAGATCCACTACAAGTAACACTGCGGCTTCAAAGAGACCCAGAAAGTTACAGTTATGCATTTCCCTGATAGTCTTAGCAAAACAAATCCTTAAATTGATATAAATGTAATTTATTACAAGCTTTGGTATCAGAATCAGAAATGGGTTTATTACAAGATAGGTTAACACATACGAGGAATTTGACTTTGTGTTGTGCATACATAAAAGTGAAACTAAAACACAGATAGAAAACTATTTAGAGAAAACTATAATAACATTAAAACATATACAAAAATATAGTAAAATATAGCAGTATTTACGTTGAATATGGTTGAAGTAGAATTGGTATACAATATGTGTAGTAATGACAAGACAAGATATTGTATACATTGTGTGCAATAATGTTGCATTAAGTCTATGATGTGGCTGAGTAGTTATTTGACTAAATTCAACTAAAATGCTTAAAGTTGGTGTCACCTGGTTGAAGGAGTAGTGTGCAAAGTCCACTGCGGTTCCAACAACATCCCCCACCATAACGGGCATCAAGATGTCGGCACCTGCCTGAGCTAACATCTCCAGCTTCATCAAAACATAGACACACACACAAATTACCTACAGTATATATACTTTTAAATGACTCAGCATGGCGGTTTCTTTTACCCCATAAATAAAACTTAGAATAAGAGATAGAAGAAGATCCTATTTATTTTCTAAATGTCTTGAAAATGTAATATTGAGGGATATAACTACTATCAATAACGGTTTTTGAGTTAAAGTAATGTCACTTATTTTAAGCGCCAAGAACCAACAGTGACCCGTGTTTTTTTAGTCACAAATACTGTAATTGGAAGATTAATCTGGATCTGGGTGTTTTAAAGTCATAGTCATATACAAACAAATGCATACATAAACAAGTCAACATGGTCACTATACAGTATTTAGGCACCTTCTTTTGGAAATGTATGAATGCCTGACAAATGTCCATGCTCTAAAAGACAGCTGCTAAAATAAATGGAGTGTAAGTGCTGAAAGCCTGCAGGAGCTTCTTTTCTTACCTATCTGAGACGTGTTGATCTACATATATAACTATGTGTGTGTGTATCTGTGCTTGTGTGTGTACCAGTTTGGCTCTGTTGCCACCTAAGTGGTACTTGATGTTGGCGAGGGCACAGAGGGCGCTGCCCACCCTGCGGCCCAGCGGGATGTTGGGATCTGCACCTCCTTTCAACAGCTCCTCCACTGCCTGGGCAGGGAAAAGGAACAGGCTCAAGACAAAGTGAGGTTTTGAAGGAATGTGAAATACAGTATAGGCAGGGGTTACATTTGGCCGGGGCTGTCCGGGGTTTTACAAAAAATTATATGTTAAAACTTTTCTCGTTCTTAATATAGACTATATTTAGGGTCGATATGTGTTGATTTTACTTTAAAATAGCAGATCTCTGTGACCGGATATCGTTTTTTCGGCTTAGTGAACGTGTGTCTCTGCATCGTCCCGGACTCCGCTGTATGTCAGCATAAAGCGGAGTTATGATCGGTCATAATAACACCGAATTTGGTGATGATTAAATAGTTTACAGTGATATTTACTCCCATACCTTTGGCCATACAAATTAAATGAGATTTCCAAAAAAAAAATCTTTAGCAAGTCTGCAGAGTGATGTGTATTTAAAATAGCAATTTGAAGGTTGGATATTTGAAAACCTTTTTTTGTGTATATTAATAATTTAAGATGTAAATTAATTTCAGTTTATTTGTAGTACTTTCTATTTTTATTGTGTCATTTGGTGTTACCAATGTGTGCATTTGATAAAGATAATGGAGCAGTTGCTTTAGGGCCTTATATACAGTATAACCTTTAAAGGTCACCTATCATGCTATTTTTAGGCAATAGCATAGGTCTCAGATATATACAAATATATAGAAAACATGTCTATGAAGTGTTTTGCTCAAAATACCAAACAGATCACCCATTCTAGCCATGCCTCATATCCCTCTATTTCACTTCCTGTTTCAAAAGTGCTGATTTTGAAATAAGCTCCGCCCCTCTTAAAAAAATAGGGGCGGAGCTTATGCCTGCTCATGCGGGAGGTTCTACCGGCAGACACTGCCTTGATGAAATGCCATATCATGGATTATCAAGGATTATTTCTGAAACAGTATGGAGCTCAAAGGCTTTCTCTCTTGCCGGTTATACCACAAGGTGAGTTCCTTTTTATTTCCTGCTTCTTCACTCACATGCTCTATCCAGTACAGGTTAGCTCTGAGTGTTAGCGATGCTAATGTAAACACCGGTCATATTACGTCCAAAACAGTCGGGCATTGTTTCTGATAGCAACGTTTCTGATAGTGCTGTGGGTCTGCATTGCCGATATGACGTGATATCGGACGCAAATCTGGATCAGCTCCGTTGTACCCCTGTTTTTAGAGATTTGGGTACGGAGGAAAAGAGAGGGTTTTATTTTCTGACGCTGCGTGAGTTCCCTTATACACCGGGGACACATATTTATGTATAAAAGACATAAAAAAGTGCATTTTGCATGATAGGTCCCCTTTAAGGTCAAATAATGAGATCCTCGACCCACCCCC